TTGTGACAACACAATGACTTTTAGCTATGCAATGTGACTTCCCTACCCTTTTCCCTCTCCCCTCTAAATCTGAGGGAGTTGGGAAGAAACCCCACAGCAGATTTGGGGAGGGGTGAGAAGGAAAATGACATGGCACAGCTAAGAGTTACTGTACTATCCTAACGTTTTATTGCCCCGCATTCCTAAACCCAGAGTCCCTAGGGCCCAGTGGCTGTGGTAGAGGAGGAAACTGAAATGCTGCAGTCAAACTTGTCTGAGGAAGTCTACACGCCTGGTATTTTTGCAAGCAGAGAATTTCCTGTATTGGCATAGGCAGGAGTAGATGACTTTTTAGTCACTTCCAAATGTGTGATTCTATATGGTACGTCAATGCTCCATTCTTTTGTGTGTGTGTGTCTGGACAGAGTTCTGACACCAGAGTGTACAGCCCAAAGGCCACAATCTGATTCAAATCCCAGAGTCCAATGAAAAAATTAGTTGTCAGAAATCCTGGAGTCAGTCATTTTAGACCAGGGGTCAGCAAACTTTTTCAGCAGGGTCCCTCAGACCTTGTGGGGGGGCCTGGACTATATTTTTTGGGGGGGAAATGAACAAATTCCTACGTCTCACAAATAACCCAGAGATGCATTTTAAATAAAAGGACACATTCTACTCATGTAAAAACACGCTGATTCCCAAACCATCCACAGGCCGGATTTAGAAGGCGATTTGGCCGGATTTGGCCCCCGGGCCTTAGTTTGCCTACCCATGTTGTAGACAATAGTGAGCTTCAGGGACCAACAATCTGACTTGAAATAAGTTGCAACTTGGTATCTAAATTGTTCTTTGTATGCAGGTTTTTTTTTTATTTAAAAAAACCATCTCCTTATAGATTCAGGATACGAGAATAAAGGCTATCTACAACAATGTGCTTAGCTAGAATATTTGGTGGTGCAAAGCCCAGGCACCCTACTCCCTCCCTGTAGCAAATCTACACTTGTGCCTTCAAAAAAGGGCATGCTTAAAAGAATTAATGTGGTAACAGGTTCATTTTCAGGAAGCCAGAGATGTTATTTAGATAATTACCACCCAATTAAATCTAAGGGCACAGATGTCTTCCATTAACAAAGACAGGGAAACACACAGTTATGAAACATTAAAATTAATAGCTGAAACTACTGAAAGACCTAAGAGAAGGGAAGTTATCAAGAGTAAATTAAGAGCCTTTCCAGATACTTAGCGCTATCCTTGCACTATTCATTGACAGCAATACAAGACCTTGTGCTCACATTGTTTAGGATATTTATATCCTGGTTTGTAGAACCAAGAGCTAATTTCTCTAACCTGGTGCTGTCCAGGCTTTTTGGAATCTAATATCAATGAACCCAACTGGCGTTGACAATGGTCATGGGTCATGGAAACTGAAGTCCAAAACATCTCAAGGGTTGACCCACTTGTAGAAGGCAGCTCAATGTGTTCTCAATGCTGCTTACAATGAATGATCAAAATACACAGATAAGCACATCGTTTTGTTTGTAAGCCAGCTTTCCATAGTTAAGCCCATGCTCAAGGTGGCTTATAACATGAAAAAACCTACATACTTGCAAACATAACAAAAGTAGTCGTAGACAATAAATAAGACATCAAAAAGCACACAACCAAATTGAAACCATTTCCACATAAATAATAATATTTCAAATAAAGATACAAAAAATTAATATCAAGAATAGCAACAGCTGCCCCGTCCAAATTTAGCACAAGGAAGAGAAATCATTTGGCGTCATAGTTTGTCAAGATTATTCAGGTAGCAGTTTTGCCATCATCTGTTTGCTTTTTTGTTCATGGAAAAAATAGGATTTGCTTTGCTCTTGGGTGGGGACGAGGGTAGAGGTCCAGACAACACAGCCCTTTAAAACATGGAATAAAACTTCTTTTTAATTAACAGAGACAAAAGTGGGTGGAACAATGAATATAAAATGTTACATTTGTACAGTAGGCTCTGTTTTACACATAGTCACACATCCCTCTGTAATTTAGGGAGGCAAGAGGCATTGTCAAAGTTCAAAGACTCCTTCCAGTTGGGCAAAAGTCCTGAAGAAAGGCTGGTTAGGGGCATGGATGAGGAGTTCGGGCCTGGGGAAAGTCCTAAAGGCCAGGTAGAGAGATTTGGAGGGGTGCACGCAGGTGGCGCTGTGGGTTAAACCACAGAGCTTAGGACTTGCTGATCAGAAGGTCGGCGGTTTGAATCCCCGCGACGGGGTGAGCTCCCATTGCTCGGTCCCTGCTCCTGCCAACCTAGCAGTTCGAAAGCACGAAATGCAAGTAGATAAATAGGTACCGCTCTGGCGGGAATGTAAACGGCGTTTCCGTGCACTGCTCTGGTTCGCCAGAAGCGGCTTAGTCATGCTGGCCACATGACCCGGAAGCTGTACGCCGGCTCCCTCGACCAGTAAAGCGAGATGAGCGCCACAACCCCAGAGTCGGTCACGACTGGACCTAATGGTCAAGGGTCCCCTTTACCTTTACCCTTTACCTGGCACCTGGGCTTGAGGTCTCCCACCATGATTTAGGGATTTAGAGCATCATCAGGATGCAGAAGTCACTGAGTTGCATTTCTCATATTCATCAGGCTCCCTGCCCTGCCCCTTTGCCCTTGTGTGCCTTTTTTAAAAATATTGTAAGCCTGCAGGTAGGGACTGTCTTGTTCTGATTGTTTGTAAGTTGCTCTGGGATCCTTTCTGGCTGAAGATTGGGCTACAAATACTCTAAATAAATACATAAATAAGCTCAGCAAGGCCATGCGGCCTCCAAACACAGCAGGCTTCCTGGCTTCACCTTTCCAAAGAGCCATTTTCTGTCCAATTAGAACATTGGCCTTTCTAATCTTGAAGTGGAGACATGGTTCGCACCCAGAACATCAAAAAAGAGCTATTTTGCAACCTCGTGGTTCCCTAGCTGGAGACACTAGGGACTCAACATGATGGTTGTGCTTTGGCTACATCAGGCATAGGCAAACTCGGCCCTCCAGATGTTTTGGGACTAAAACTCCCATGATCCCTAGCTAACAGGACCAGTGGTCAGGGATGATGGGAATTGTAGTCCCAAAACACCTGGAGGGCCGAGTTTGCCTATGCCTGGCCTACATGGTTGGAGGCAGTATGCTTTGGAACACCAGCTGCTGCATATCGTAGGAGGGGAGAGCGCTCTTGTCCTTGGGCCTTGCTAGTGGGTTTCTCCACTACTGGATTACATGGGCCATTGGCCTCATCCAGCAGAGCTCTTCTTATATTCTGTGCAAAGCCCCTTCCCCTGTGCTGTTGCAACCTCTTTGTGGCATTCCAAATACAACATCCAAAGGAGAGCGAACAAAGAAGCTGGGCCGAAATCCCCAATCCCCATTCTTCGGTGGATAAAATGGATGATTCATTGGCATCAGAAGTGCAACTGCAACCCAGAAGAAAGTGCACATGATGAGCCCATTGCCCAGAACCCTTCAGGGCAAAGGATAGCACATTTCCATCCTCTGTCTCAGAAGTCCCTGAACAATCAGTGTCTTCCTCACTCCATCTGGTTAGCAGACTGCTGGAGCAGGTTGGGCACCTATAATCGAATAAGCACTTTTCGGTAATGATGGGGCTAATAACAGAGACGGAGCGGCTACTCCTATCTCTATAAAGTACAGTCTGATTGCTGGTGAAGCATTATCAGAGCTTTGCTCTCCTATAGCTCAGCACTTGCAATAGAGCAGATTTCTGTGGGGGCAAATGTGGGGTGGCGGTTGGGTGGTCTTATTTTTACAAGGGTGCTGGGGGATCTCCCAATTTTAAAAGCCTTGTTGCAGATTGCAGATTCTCAAGGCACATTTCTTAAGTAAGAATGCCCATGAGAAGGAAGCTATGTTGTGTCATTCCCATAGGTCTTCTCATGGGAAAAACATGCCAGAAAGTTTTCCAGAGAGACACCTCAACACTGCTACCTAGGGATGGATGAATCTGTCAATTTTGGTTGCCCTCGGTTTCTCAGTCTTATGTCCAGCGTTCCATATTTCCACATCTGTTTGGGCCTTAAGAAAAAAAGTCTGCATGAAAGCCCATCAACAAATTAGTATGGATTTCTCCTGATATGCAAATTGTTCTATGCAGCTTTGCCAAAATCTACACATTATCCCCAAAACATTTTTGTATGCTATTTCCATTGATATATGTTCAAAACTTTACTCCAGTATATGCAGTTTTGTACCCGTTACCAGACTGGAGAATGGAATTCAGAGAAGTGAAAATTTCAAATGACGGCTATGTTTCTGTTCACTTATTGTTCCGGAAAGTTTGAACCCTATAGGTTCACCTTTAAATACACACTGAAATGAACTTGTCCCCCATCCCATAAGGCAAGCCAGCACCCCTTGAATATTTACATATTCCACTGTTCCACATTTTGAGGGGCATTTCACTCCCCCACCCAAAACGTAAAGCAAAGAACTTGGATGAAAACTTCGACTCGGCGCTACTGAAGAAATGTTGGCAGGCCTTGGAAGAACAAAGCATGGAATCCTCAGGCATCCAGTAGCCGAGTGCACGGGGAGGACATGACCTGATTTATAGCTTCCACATTTATTACTAAGCGTTTTTAAAGAAACCACTGCGGCCATGTGCAGTTTCGATTTTAAGGTTAACCTGATAAAGAAGATTGACGTCTAGTTGGAAACTTCTGCATCTTCCTCAACGGAAAAAAAAGAATGTCTGGTGCTACAGACCAAGCATTTTATTTACTATGGTCACTTCCAAGTTTCATAACAACTACTACTCTGGAAAAATCCTTAGTTCTGTGATACAGATAAATTCTATCTCTCCCTCTGGTCCTCCAAAGTTGGACCCTGCGAATTTCCAATCTCCATCGCACTTTGCAGCAAGGCCCAACCTGACCCCAAATTCCTATGTTTTATGTGGGCCAAAGTTTTGTTATTGGCAATGAACTAGACTTGGATACCAATTAGTATCTGGGAAGATTATTAATTTCTTTTTGAAAACGTTTTTCCTTAGTGATTTCAGCTATTCATATACACAACAGAATCTTCTCTTTGGTGACACTCTGTGTAAGGGATGCATGAATCTGTCAATTTTTGTTATCACTCTCTTTTTTCCTATTTTAAGTTCTGTCATTGAGACATGCAACAGGATCTTTGATCAGTTTCTTGTTTTTTCAAGCTTAAGTCTGGTATGTTACATTTCTGAACCCATTTATGTTGTTTTTTTAAGTTTTCACAAAAATTCACCAGCATTTTAGCTAATCTTTCTCCTAATACACTCATATTAATAGGCCTCATTAATATGCCTTCTTTAACCTGAAAGGAGATTCTGACTAAACATCAGGAAGAACTTTCTGACAGTAAGAGCTGTTTGATAGTGGAATAGGCTCCCATGAGAGGGTTTTTAAGCAGAGGTTGGATGGCCACTTGTCATGTATGATCTAGTTGAGATTCCTGCATTGCAGGGGGTTGGCCTGGATGACAATTCTGTGATACTATAAATGAATCCATTTGCGGGAAAGTGTAGGCATATTAATATGACTTTATGAGGAGAAACATGTGCACATTTTTGTTGTGTTTGAGAACTGCCCAGCTCTCCATCTTAAGAGATTGTCCCAGAGGAAGCCATGGGCAGCTGGTGGTAAGGGGACAAGATTGTCCTTTCTGTTGTACTGAATGAACATGTACAATACTTCCATCTACTGTTGACATCTCTGCCTTCTTCCCTATCAGTCCTAATGTGCACCAGTCACCACTGGTATGTGTACAACCTAGATCAGAGCTATGGTGCCAGAGCAAGAGCCATATCTTGCCATTTTCTCAATATCATCCCCCAGACGTTGTAACTAGTCTTGTGGATTAAGCACATCAACATATTTTTCTTTGTAGGACCAGTAACAGCTTGGGAGAGGGTTGTTGATGACGTGATTTAATATTAGAGGACAAGCTGTCTTTTGAGGAGGTTTGTTCACTATCAGTGATTTGTTCACTGAGGAACCCCTGATGAACCCCCAAAGGACTCCTGCCCCCTCAGAGCACACTTTGAAAGCAACCTCAGTGCTTCATAATGATAGTACAGAGTTTGAAGATGCTCTTCATCTCTGTTTCAGTAGCCTTCTGTTATTAAACTTCCCATTGCTCAGGGAATAAGGAAGGAAAGCCAAAACTCTGTTTTGGTGCTTGAGGCTAAAAATTTTATTAATGGGAAGCAGCAGTCTCTCCTCAGACTTGTCTGCAGAATTTTTGGTCTATGGCCATTCAATGGGAGCTAAGATTTTCATAAAAGCCAACATTCATCCCCCTGAATTTGACGGTTTCTGGAATTCTGTTGGGCACGCGAGCCTTCTTCATCAAACTGAACCAGGTTGAAGAAACCCGATTTATGGAACAAACATGACAACATTGTGAGCTTTTATCAAAAGCATAAATCTTCAAGGGGAAATGTGCCAGCAAGGGGGGGGGGGACTGTTCCCCACAGCTGTGAACTGCAGCAAAACAATGGCTTAGAAGTGCAATCAATAACCTCCCATCATAACACACTCAAATCCAGCAGGGTCCCTTTCAAGGTGGTGTTGGAAGGTGACAACTCCACCTTTTATTTAGACCACAAAATGCACTCAAAGGATCACACCAGACACAGAAAGGTGTGTGTCATAAAGCTCATGGCACCAAATTGCAGGGCTTTGATCTTGCTTTACTGTGGATTCTGTCCTCCGTCCCTTCATTCATGGGAGGAAACATTTCTGAATTATGTTATGGGCTGGCCTTACTGAGAGCTGAGCTGAGAGGATGGAAGGGCAATTCTGTCAGTTTCTGGATAACACACCACTAGATTCAACCTGCAGTTCTGTACAGTGCCTTCTACTTGGGCCAGGTAGCTAAGCGTCTTGGACTGGCCAAGGCATGGTCTACACCAGGGTTTCCCAAACTTGGGTCTCCATCTATTTTTGGACTACAGTTCCCCTCATCCTTGACCACTGGTCCTGCTAGATAGGGATGATGGGAGCTGTAGTTCAACAACAGCTGGAGACCTAAGTTTGGGAAAAACTGATTTACACAGAGCCATGAGCACCCAGTTCTAGTCCTAGAATAGCATCACTTGGGTGGTCCATCTGGCCTGGACAAAGATAACACCCGACGCCCTAGAGTTACCCAAATCTGATGCTGCCGCAGCTTGTCAACAACCCTTCCTTATGGGGAACTATTTATCCTAGTATTGCTCCAGGCTATGGAAAATTAGGAGCAGGGGCACCAGAGAGCTAGGGAGAGGAATGTACAGTAACATGCTCAGGGCACTGCCAGTGCATGACGGAGTCAATCCAGTGTTCCTACAGGTGCTCCTATGCTGTCTGACCTGCTGTCCCATTGCTGAACAATCTCGGTACCTGGTAGCGCTGTCAGGGCCAGGAAGCCAGGTCTTCAGTGGGGCCCCTTCCTGCTGACAGCTCCTGACAGTCCCAACCCTGATTCTTCCTCCCATGACCGCTTCTTAGATTAGAAAGCAAATCAGATGTGCTAAATGTGCACACATATTTAACACAGCCATCTCTGACCTGCTGACCTCCAGAGGTTATTGGACACCCAACTCTCAACAGTCCCAGCCAGCATGGACAATAGTCAGGGATAGAAAAACAACATCCGAAATTGGAAAAGATTGTTTTGGATGAAGGACAAAAGAACTGAACAACTTTTAATTCCTTTTAATAATGGGAAAAAACCCATTAACCCAGTAAACAGTTAGCTTAATGGTGAATTTTGGACACAATGGAGTTAACAGCTTTAGCAAAATACACATATATCTTATGGGGCAATAGGACAACTTTAAAAAATAAAATAAACCCAAACAATTACTGTATTTTTCCATGTATAAGATGCCCCCTATTTTGGGGGACTCAAAATTAAGAAAATGGGGGGAGATTGCCCCTGTGTATAAGACTACCCCCCTTTTAACATTATTTTTAGTAAAAAAAAACACCTAGTCTTATACACGGAAAAGTATGGTAATTTCAAAGTGTGACAGTGTGTGAATATAATTACCAGCCTCATAATGGAATTTTTAAATGATCCCTCATCAACCAATTTATGCTGATGAAACCCCACACTGGATACCTATTTATTCAGCCTCTCTCGTGCTCATCCCAAGGTCTTTTGCCTCCCACTCCCATCCGCTGCCCCTGTGGCATAAAACATTAACTTCAGACACTGAAGGGAAGTAAAACTACAGCAACAGATAAATACCAAATCCCCCAAAGGTATGGTTTCTGGAGAAAATGGATATTTTAATTCAGTAACTTTGGCTTGTTGTGTTTCTGCTTAATTTGCAGTTCCTTCCCACAAGAGGGGCAGACAGTGCCGGGTGGGTGGGGGGAACTGGGCATAGATTACGGCTGACCGAAGACACAAACTTTCGGACTGTTTGGCAGCCAGTCTATTGTTACTCCTGGGAGCGTTCCAGGTCTCTCACAGCATGTGGGAGCACAACATGGGCTCAGGACGCTTTCTATAGGCTTTGTGATTTTTATCCCTGGAGACTGAGGCAGTGCAAACACCAGCAGAATGTGATGCATGTACATGAAAAATGGAGCTGCCTTGAATTGGAATTGAACAGGCCACTGGTCTGTCTAGCACCGCTTAGCGTGGTCTATTCTGAGTGGCAGGCTAGGCCTCAAGTCTTTCTAAGACCCAAATACTTTTTTTTTAAACAATAATATTTATTAATTTTCAATAGACATAACAAAAAAGAGAATATCCAACAACACAACAACACCACAACAACACAATAAATAAAAAATAAAAAAGAATAACAGACTTAACATACCTAAACAGAAAAAAAGAAACTCAATTAATTAATTAAGATCCATTTCCATAAACATTTTAGTTGACTTCCTCTAATCTCCTCCATCTGAATTTCCTCTTAATTTGAATGTAGCAGTTTCCAATATCATTATTTCATAAAACAAATATTTTTTTTTGTTTCAAATACTTTTTTTTTTTATTCATTAAATTTGAGGTGGAAACTTGATGCTCCGTCATGCAAAGCAGGAGGAAACAGGAATAAAATATGCTCTTTTTCTCACAGACCTTCAGTGCCCCATATAGTCAGTGGAGGTTTGTGCCCACTGGGCAGAAGATGGGGAAGCCAACAGCAAGTGCTGCGCACACCAAGGGCAGACAGAGCTAACTAAATCTGGCTTTGCCCCCATCCTCCTCCTCCTTCCCTCTGCTGAGTTCTACAAGGACAACACTGAGTTCTAAGGAGGAGGAGAAGCTGAGAGGTAATGCTAGCCCCTAGACTGGTTGTAGGTAAGGAGATAAGCAGGTGAGAACTGGCCGAGGCCAGACTGAGCTTGGTGGGGCAGTGCTTAAAGTACTAGCATCTACCTGTGGACAAATGTATCACTTTGGGTTTTTTTATGTGCACATTTATTTGCAGGGCTGCATGTGATACTTCACCATTGGTCACCCCACAGATTATCCCATCAGCCGTGGTGTCAGCCATTGTGATTTTAAGCGTTTTAACTAGTGACTGTGTATAATCTGCTTTTGTCTTTTTACACTGCCTGGATGTGTTTCATACGACAAGTGGTAAGGAAATACTTTTAGGTGCACAAAATAATTAAATTAATGTGATTCAAGCAACTAACAATGCACTAGGATCCTCTTGTTACAGTTCTGGGACTCCTGCAAATAACAAGGCAATAGCACCCTCTCTTACAGGTCTTCTTTACATTCAAGCATGCAACTGGACAACCAGACTCAAATTCTACTCAGCCATGAGGTCTGTTGAAAGTCCTTGAGTACATTTCCTATGGCCAAGGGCTCATCCACACTTTGTCTTGTCCTGTCGCTCCCCACCAGGAAAATCCACTCTTTGCCGCTCAATCGGAGCAAACATCAATCGGGTTTTCAGCGGATTGAAGTTTGCTCTGATTCAGCAGTAAAGAGCAGGTTTTCCCAGGGCAATTGGAAGGGGAAACAGAAAACTGCTCAGATGCGTGCTTTCTAGGTCCAGGACAAGTGATCAAAGCATGTGATCAGTGTTTGGGAAGCTGCCAGTGACATGTATTCTGCATATTTGTCAAGAGGGCAGGGGAAAGAAGAGAGGTTTTATATATCTCAGGCAACTTGACCATAGGAAAGATCCGTTTTTTGGTTTCTCAAAGTGTTACTTCCTTTGTTTTGCTCGTCCATGGAGGACGAGCAACTGAAAATGGCAGGACTGTATTCCAGATAAGGAGGTTAGCAAGTCAGCTGCCCTGGGAAGCAAACTCCTGACCTTTTCAAGTGAAAGGTAAAAGCCAAACTAGGAGGGGATTGTGTACAGCCCTCTGCCAAGACAGAGCTGAGCAACATGCTCAGGAGAGCAGTAAAGAACACAGCCAGGCTAACAGCCCAGGCTAATGCAAACATAATGTGCCATGCAAAAGGGTATCCATCAAGGCTTTAAGATGACAAATCTAGCTGTGCGGCAACATAACACCACTGCAAAAATAAAAAGATCGGACTGGTGTCAGATTTCTGATCTGGCCTCAGTATAATCCCATACATATTCATTTCCTTTTCCATTTGTTGCCCTTAAAAATAAACCTGTGGTCTTGGTTCACATGCAATGCCAACCTGAGCTGTGCCCCTAAATAGAATGGTTGGAGGGTGGAGCAGCCTTTCCACTGCTCTGCCTCCAGAACCGCAGGATAATAGTGTGCAGAGGTCATGAGGGAAATATATTTCAAGTTCAGCCCACCTTGGATTTCCTTCTCAGAACCAAACACGGCACCCCACAGTGACCTCCTGAGACCTCTGTGAAGTCATTCTACATGCTAGGCAGAACAAAGCAGTCACATTTTGGGCTGAGCCACTTCAGACTCCCCTCCCCTCCCATTCTGTACTCTTCCCCACACAGAAACCCCTTGGCATGTAGTAAACACTGACATGTTCAGAGACTGGGCTACACTAATCCTCCCTGATTGCGCCGCTTTTCTAAATGCAAAAAGGTTTCTGTGTACAGTGGTACCTCGGGTTAAGAACTTAATTCGTTCTGGAGGTCTGTTCTTAACCTGAGGTACCACTTTAGCTAATGGGGCCTCCCGCTGCCGCCACGCCACCGGAGCACGATTTTTGTTCTCACCCTGAAGCAAAGTACCCGAGGTACTATTTCTGGGTTAGCCGAGTCTGTAACCTGAAGCGTCTGTAACCTGAAGTGTCTGTAACCCGAGGTACCACTGTATAAATGAAGGGAGAACATTCAGAAATATGAACACCATTCTGCTGCCCAGTTCTGTGTCAGATGTTGAAGGGATGAGGAGAGAAGCCATTTATGCATGTATACCAGTGGGTGCTTCTATATTGTAAACTGCCCTGTGATCCTCGGATGAAAAGTGATATAGAAATTTGATAAATAGTTCTGTTCTATGCTACCTAAAATGTATACAAACTTATTCAGGTATGCGACTACAGCAGCAAGAATGTTACTTGCTCAAAACGGAAAGAAGAAAAAGTCCCAGCAAAGGGAGAATGGATACAAAAACTTATGAAATCTGCAGGAATGGCGAACCTTACCGGAAAAATAAGAAATCAAGATAGCAAACTTTCTATAAAAGAACGGAAATGGTCTGTTGAATATTTACAGATAAATTGTAAACAGATAAAAACATTGGCAGGATTATTGTAATAACCTGCAGTTTCATAAGAGCATATATTTAAAGAAGATGAATAAATGAACAAATTAAGTTTATTTGGATATGCAGAAGCTATTAAAAATAAATTTAAGGAACAGCAGAAAGTGAGGGAAGGAAGTCAAGTTTTGAAATGTCAAAATGACTGTAAAATCAGTGAAATGTTTAAATCTGAAAAGTATAAATATTTTTTAAAAGAAATTTGATAAATAAAACAAATAAGCATACAAAACCCTCACACCTGGGCTAATTGGGCTTTGAGAATTTCTTCAGACAGCATCCCTTCTTTAGGTTCATCCCTCCTCAAGTGCTTCTGCCTGGCTGAGATGTGGTCTTGAACTATAGTGGGAGAGGCATGTATAGAAACCACTGGCTTTTGGGAGGTATCCTATTGCATGAAGGTAAGATTCAGACCTGTTACTCTACCCAGTTTGCCTCCTGGAAGGTGACCCATAAGGCAAAGTGGCCTCAGGCTGGAAAGGTTTCCCTACTGCCCCAATTTGCATTTTATGTTTAGTTTGCTCCTTTCTATTAATTTTGGAAACGATTCAATCATTCCCTACTAACTTAGATGGCAGTTTGAGGCAGAGTGTGTTAAGAGGGAAGGTGGAGGAAGTAGGAGCATGTTTCACTTTGTACACTGGAAACCTTATTATTATTATTATTATTATTATTATTATATTATATGGATACTACGGGTGTTTTATGTGGATTATGGTTACAGAAACAGACGGATACAGATACTGATTGGAGCAAAACCCTTTACAACCGACAATTATCTCGCAAATTATATGCATTGTCTTGGTTTTCCCTTTTGCTGTGATGGTTTGGTATTTAAAATTCAATACAATTTAACATTTTAGAACTTCAATAAGCAGGTTGTCTACTTAGCAATTATCAAAGGAGTACAAACAAAGTCACAGCACACCAAGAAACTACAATGAATCCTACAATATACCCAGGTAGATGTGTGTGTGAGTGAGTGTGTCCCCGCAAAATAAAATCATATCACTGTTACTTCTGAAGCAGCTTTTAACAAGCGGCTGGTTAAACAAATTAATTCGCAGTCGGCAGCAAAGAGATGATACATTAAAGCAAATATTTGCATTCTCAGAAGCATAAATGAAAGCCAGAAAGTACTATCATAGCTGTGATGGAAACTTAATAAATAGTCTTACTTACTACATCTGAATCTGAAGTACCGTATTTTTCGCCCTATAGAACACACTTTTTCCTCTCCAAAAATGAAGGGGAAATCTGGGTGCGTCCTATGGGGCGAATGCAGGCTTTCGCTGAAGCTTGGAGAGCGAGAGGGGTCGGTGCGCACCAACCCCTCTCGCTCTCCAGGCTTCAGGAAGACATCCACAGCCTAGGCAGCCCTGCGGGAGTTCCCGCAGGGCTGTCTAGGCTGCAGAAAGCAGCCTGCTTCCCGGAGTGCCGGGCGCGCTGAAAGCAGAGCACCCGGTGCTTCGGGAACACACCCACAGCCTAGGCTGCCCTGCGGGAGTTCCCCGCAGGGCTCCCCACGCTGCGGATAGCAGCCTGCCACCCGGCGCGAGGGTCGCCCTGAAGCAGAGCGCCCCTCGCGCCGGGCAGACATCCGCAGCGTGGGGAGCCCTGCAGGAGTTCCCTGCAGGGCTCCCCAGGCTGCGGATAGCAGCCTGTCGCCCGGCGTGAGGGTCGCCCTGAAGCAGAGCGCCCCTCGCGCTGGGCAGACATCAGCCAGCCCCACAAGCTCGGGGGACAGCAGGGAGGCGCAGCGCCGCCATCCCGCTGTTCCTCGACCTGGTTCGGTTTCCCCGACCTGGTTTTGGGGGGGGAAATAAAGGGAATTCCCCCCTTTATTTCCCCCCAAAAAACTAGGTGCGTCCTATGGGATGGAGCGTCCTATGGGACGAAAAATACGGTATTTTCCACCTTCAAATATTGCCTGACCTTCCTTCCCCTCCCCTTAACAACTTTTGATAAGGCTTGGGAATGTGCATTGATGACTCTGCACCTCACATGCTCTTTCAGTGCATGAGGAGTGGTTGTCTGAGCCCCTCACCTGAAAATATATCAAAAAGTGTGGGATGATTAGAGATGTTAAGAAGGCATCAATTTCCTTTTGGAATTATAGAAATCGCATGCAGCACTGTTTTTGTTCTGCTGCATTTCAGTTTCTGACAAAACTACATTGTTGTCTTGGTTCCTACAAGATGATGCACTCAAGCTCAAGAGGATGGTTTCGCTCCAAACAATTTCGCATCAATTTCGTTTCAGAATTATAGAAATTATAGAAACTGCATGCAGCACTGTTTTTGTTCTGCTGCATTTCAGTTTCTGAGAAAACTACATTGTTGTCCTGGTTCCTACAAGATGATGCACTCAAGCTCAAGAGGATGGTTTCGCCCCAATCAATTTCGCATCAATTTCCTTTCAGAATTACAGTCATATCTCTGGTTGAAGTAGCTTCAGGTTGAGCATTTTCGGGTTGCGCTCTGCGGTGACCTGGAAGTAACGGAGTGCGTTACTTCCGGATTTTGCCACTCGTGCATGCGCAGACGCTCAAAATGACATCACGCACATGTGCGAAAGCGGCAAATCGTGACCTGCACACGGGCAGATGCTGGTTGCGTTCGCTTCAGGATGCGAACAGGGCTCCGGAACGGATCCCGGTCGCATCCAGAGGTACCACTGTATAGAAATGATAGAAATTGCATGCAGCACTGTTTTCGTTCTGCTGCATTTCAGTTTCTGAGAAAACTACATTGTTGTCCTGGTTCCTACAAGATAATGCACTCAAACTCAAGAGGATGGTTTCGCCCCAAAAGCTTTACTGCTCAAGTCAGTGCAAGACTATGCAAAACACTATACAAAGGCACAGAACCTAGCTACTCACAAGGCGCAGATACACAAAGGCACATCAGGTGATGTGGCTACTTAAGCAAAGGCGCTGATCCAATAACACGTCCCCTGCAATCCCCTTATAAAGGAATAGGACAGCCACAACTTAGCACGGCAAGTGGCTCTGTTCCTTAGCAAGCAATCTAGCACTTCGCCTGGAGGAGGGCAGAACCTGTTCCAGCTTTTTGTGCCTCCATTAGCGTCACTGGGACCTAGGTGATGGGGGAGATGCCCCTGCTTTCTGAGAGGTTGGTGGGGCACCCCACGCCACAGTAGCAGGGCTAGACAATTCCATAGGTAGAGTGGGTGGCATAACAGGCATAGAGGAAGCATCAGAGATGGCTTCTGACAGCCGCAGAGAGGGCAACAGGACTTGTCACGGTAACTGGAGGGGGTGTGAGAGCAAGTTGAAGGAAATCACACACACACACTTGGGTCCTCCCCAGGATCCACAGCATCGGGCTCCCCTGAATCAGGCAGTCACCTCCCAAGCCTGCTAGAAACCCACTCCACCTCTTTGCATCATCCTGACTTGGTCAGCCCTCGCTCTCTCATTCTGGGCCTGTGACTATTTAACCAATTAATAGTCTAGTCTGGGCTAATAACTATTTGTCTTGCTGCCCGCTATGACAAAACGTTGTGTAATTTATTATGTTATCCCACATCAATCATTTCAACATTAAGAAAACCCCCCAACTCAGGCTGTTTCCAGACTGCTGACAACCACAACAGAAAATAATGGTCACGTTTGCAGAATATAAGCAAACATCAGCAATTCCCATTCCCACTGCCACTAGAATTCTCTGATGATACAATTGCTGATACCTATGTCATCCACAACCATCTTGCTGCTTTTTTTTGGACAGCTCTTGCAATTGACCCTATTCTACCGCTGTAGTTTGTGTGCATCCGGTGAGCATGCCTAATTCATGCAAACACCTTTGGAAACACCCCAGTTCTCTATGTTCTCGATTTAGGAGGGAATCAATGCACAGTTTATTCACTATGCCCAAATACTACTGACTTCTACTGGAGGCTTGCACCTTTTGCAGTCTTTTAACTCACCTACCTCCCTGCCCCTGCCCCATTCAGGAGGTGTTGCAAAACTGGATTTTGAACTCCTATTATTAAGGAAGATCCCAGGTCCTGACTTCTCAACGTGCCAACAAAGATTATTATACTTGCCTGAACTGGTCTTTATTTCTGGCTGAACCACGAAGGTCCTTTCAGAAAGACTGAAAGTATATGTGTGTGTTTGTGTGTGTATGGAATACAGTTATGCCAAAGAGCTTCCAACATCAACAATTCCTCTCCCGCTAGATTTCTACAGTCCAAATCTCTGGCAGCATTCAAATTTGGATATTACATGCACATTAGAAGTTGCTGTGAATATACGCAGAGAGCAAATTTATTTACAGTTAGCAAATCTTTTCCAGAACGATCTGTGCATTAATACAGTGCTCAAGAAAGGAGGCGGAAACATGATGGCAAGCTGTATTTTCTAGGGGAACACACATTTGAAACTGCATGGGAGAAACAGGGCAATGGGGAAGCGACAATTTTGAGCGAAAAACTGACTTGTGGCTAAATAAAGAGTTAAGTACCCCTTCCCACCCTCAATGGTGCCGCTTCACACCCTCCTTGAGTAATTGTATCTGAATGGAATACAGAACTCTGATAATGCATGTACATAGACATTAGCTACAGTACGAAAGGAACATTTGCATTTGTCGCTCTGTCCACTTTTGCTTCTGGCCCCACCCATCACCAGCATGTGACTCCAGAATTTTGCCCAGAAATGCATGAAACTTTCAGGCTGAAAAAGGTTCCCCACTTCTGAAACAACTAGATCCAAAAGGCTTATGGGAGGCCATACATCCCCTCGAAGGAGGGAACGCCAATATTAAATTACCTATGGACTACCTAGCTATGAATATGTTAAAAAGGCAAATCAATATCTATCCATATTATTCACAGTGTGATGGATAACACAGCAAGACTGACTTGATTTACCTTAATTTGCAAATCAATTGGCTTCACACTTATGAAAAACTGCTAATCAATTTTAGATCAAAATTAATTGAAACACAGCGAGAGCAACAAGCATAGTCAAAATGATCTTTCATAACCCGGACAGCATGGGTGAGTTATTTCATTTTCTTTTTTTCTTTCGGAAGGTGTTTGTGGTCAGGACTTATTAAGCAGTATTTGAAGGAGAAAGTGTTTGCCCATTGTTCTGTGTACCTGTGTACGTGTTTTAAGCTACCTTGTGGTCCAGCCTTATAAAGCAAAAACTGAGGGTGACTCCAGGTGTCAATCCTGGGGGAACTTGACAAAAAACAAAACAAAACAAAACCAATAATGCCAGTGGATAAATGTGCCCATGATGCAGCAAACTCTGACCCATAACAGTTGTACCACAATAAATCAGTGCCTCCTAGTTATCTGCTGTTTTTAGAAGAGTCTTGAGTATTAAAAACTAGCACAAGATAGAAGCATGTATGAGTAATAGTAGCTCCAGCAGCATCCTTTAGCATTTATACCACACTTTACAGGGCAATCTTATACCATATGGGCCTGAATATAAGCCTCACTTTCCCCCAAAATCTGACTGTGGAAAGTTAAAGGTAAAGGTAAAGGGACCCCTGGCCATTAGGTCCAGTCATGACTGACTCTGGGGTTACGGTGTTCATCTCGTTTTATTGGCCGAGGGAGCCGGCATACAGCTTCCGGTTCATGTGGCCGGCATCACTAAGCCACTTCTGGCGAACCAGAGCAATGCACGGAAATGCTGTTTACCTTCCCACCAGAGTGGTACCTATTTATCTACTTGCACTTCGTGCTTTCAAACTGCTAGGTTGGCAGGAGCTGGGACCGAGCAACAGGAGCTCACAAGGATTCGAACCTCCGGCCTCCTGATCAGCAAGCCCTAGGCCACAGCGCCTAACCCACAGCGCCACCTGTGTCCTTGTGGAAAGTTAAAGTGCAGCTTATATTTGTGACCTTACGGTATGCAGCCTGGAGCGCGGGGCAAACAGTGGCAGGAGACGACAAAGTCCCCCCGTCCTCTCCCCCCAAGGCCGGTAAGGGAGAGAGCAAGGAAGGGGAAATGCCGTCAGCAATGCAGTATACAGCCAGGAGCAGCAAGGAATGGAGTGGCTTATATCCAGGTATTTCTCTCTCTCTCTCTCCCCCCCCTCCAATTTTAAAGGTGCGGCTTATATTCGAGTGCAGCTTATATTTGGGCCAATACGCTACATGTCTTCTCAGAAGTAGAACAGCACAACTGGGAGGATCCTCACAAGTCCTCTTGCCCAACCTCCTGCTGATGTGGACAGTAGGCTGCTACAGCATTCCTGATTGGTGGCCATCCAACCTGGGCTTCAGGGGTGGGGTGCTGGGTGTATTTGGCAGCCAAACGGCCATGTTCAGAACGAGCCCACTCTCTGCTGACCATTTTGATTGGTTGGTGGGGCTGTTGGTGGCATACAAAGTGATTGACAGTTCAAGGTGTGGCTGCAAAAGAAGAATCTTCTTTTTTTAATCCTGGTCTCTTCCTTCGTATTCCCAGTTTGAGTTTCAAGGTTCTTCTGGCCATCTCCCACCCAGGTGGTGGCAGGCAAATGGGGCTTTGCCCTGCCAACCTCAGTCTGTCCTTAGCCAGCCCCTACCTGCCATCTTCCTTACTTACAACCCGTCCAGCTCTCTCCACCTCCTATGTCTCAGTGTTGTCTTTGTAGAATTCAGCAGGGAGTCATAATTAGTTGACTCCAACCAATCTTTGGCTTGGGCTCTTACCTTTCCTACAAGGAACCCAAGGTTAGCCTCCCCACGTTATCCTCACAAGAACCATGTGAGGTAGTGGCTGGCCAGTATCACCCAGTGAGCTTCATGGCAGAGTGGGGATTTGAACTCTGGTCTCCAAGGTTCTAGTCCAACGCACTCACCACTATGCTACACTGGCTCCTTGTCTTCTGTCCTGTCAGTCCCAATAGGCACCAGACTCGCTCTGCTCCTATCCTGATAAAACTTCAGAAATACGTCTGTATTGCGTGCATCCAGGCTGTTGACTGGACTCCCTTAGAAGATAATTCTTTTTCATTTTATCCTCACCTCTCAGAGGGTTAATAACAGTGCACAGGTGTAAAGGAAAAGAACAGTTCTGGCTTGAATAATAATACCGTTGAATTATAGGATCAAAGATGCAAGATTTACCAATTTTAAGGCAGGAGAAGGCTCACCCCCCACCACCACCACTATTGCGTTGACAGGCAGTGCTTCTGCCAATAACCAGCGACCGGAATTGCCTGACTCCCACTGCATCTACTGCAGTTATGCCTTTTGTTTTAGCTAAGCATTATATCTCCTTTTGTTCTCCCTGCCTTTTCTCTACCTGATGCTTGGCTCCCAGCTCCTGGTGTCTATAGTAGCATCTGTTGCTAGACTGTACCGTTCCTGTGATGAAGTCCCGCCAGCAGAGGCAACAGGCTAGGTGATGGATGGTGCAGATGATTCAAGGTCATCCGACTGGTCCCCTTCCCAAGCTTCAGATGTCTTTACAGTACAACACTTGCCTGGTTTCATGGCAATGCTAACGCTCAGGTCATTATCTTGGTGTTCTTCTTCTTGTTCTTTTTTAAAAAAAGATTGATCCAATATACCAATCCAAAGCCAGTGAAAGGAAACCAGGCAAAGAAAGTTCATAATGGTGAGTTTAGTCACAGAGAATCTGGATTTCCTTCTAATGCTTTCATTTAGCACTTCCCAAGCAACCACGAAATTAAAAGACGCCTGATTCTTGGGAGAAAAGCAATGACAAACCTAGACAGCATCTTAAAAAGCAGAGACATCACCTTGCCAACAAAGGTCCGTATAGTAAAAGCTATGGTTTTCCCAGTAGTGATGTATGGAAGTGAGAGCTAGACCACAAAGAAGGCTGATCGCTGAAGAATTGATGCTTTTGAATTATGGTGCTGGAGGAGATTCTTGAGAGTCCCATGGACTACAAGGAGATCAAACCTGTCCATTCTTAAGGAAATCAGCTCTGAGTGCCCACTGGAAGGACAGATCCTGAAGCTGAGGCTCCAATATTTGGCCACCTCATGAGAAGAGAACACTCCCTGGAAAAGACCCTGATGTTGGGAAAGATGGAGGGCACAAGGAGAAGGGGACGACAGAGGATGAGATGGTTGGACAATGTTCTCAAAGCTACCAGCATGAGATTGACCAAACTGCGGGATGCAGTGGAAGACAGGAGTGCCTGGCGTGCTGTGGTCCATGGGGTCACGAAGAGTCGGACACGACTAAACGACTAAACAACAACAAAGCAATCATGACTTGAAACTTTTTTTTAAAAAAGGAAGTGACTGTGTACATCAGGGGTCAGACATGGGCCGCTCCACCATCCCTCAGACTATGTGGTGGCCCGGACTATATATTTTTTTTGGGGGGGGGGGAGTGAATGAATTCCTATGCCCCGCAAATAACCCAGAAATGCATTTTAAATAAAAGGACACATTCTACTCATGTAGAAACGCACTGATTCCCTGACCGTCCATGGGCCGGATTTAGAAGGCGATTGGGCCACATCCGGCCCCCAGGCCTTAGGTTGCCTACCCCTGGTATACATCCTTCTCCAGCCTACATGACCCCCAGATGTACCTCTAAAGTCAATGGTATTGTACTGTTTAATTCATTGCTGTTTATCTGATACAGGTGAGGACCAGTTTCAAAACTGCCCCGCCTCCATTGCAAAGGATGCTGTGCTGGTTGCACCAGCTTGAGCAGACCCAGCCTACTTGTAGAATTGCTTCCTTGGCCAGACTTGTGTCTCCGCACTGCACAAATGACAGTGCCCACCCTCCTCTTCCAAAGGCGAGCTAAGGAGGTGTGCCAAGTGTTGGGACGACGTCTTAGCTTACACCTAGCCATGAACTCTAGAGCTCTCTTTTAACCACTGATCCACACACCTCGCAATGTGATGTTTGAGCATTGTAGTGAATTCTAGAATAAAGCATTTGGAAACAACTGCACCAAGAATCTCTCTATCGCTTCCATGAATGGTAGTCAGGACAGGAGAATTGTGAGGGTCAGTGGCGTAGTGTGGGTTGCCAGTGCCCGGAGCCATGTGGCAGGGAGGGAAACGGATGGAGTATGCATGCACATTCAACTGCCTAATGGCATCTGTGTCACCCAGGAAATCGCAGCTGAAGAGACAAGAAAAGAAAAGTCATTCTGTCGTTTGGAAAGTTCACTTCCTGGTTTGCATGGAGAAGTGGTTTTCAATGGAGCCCAGTGATGGAAGTGGGTGTTGAAATTTTGCACCCCCTAACAATTTTGAGCCCAGGGCATCTGCCCCTGTGGCCCCCCATGCTACGCCACTGCTGGGGGTTTATCCCAAGGTCAGGAGGGTGACATTTGAGCCCCAGACCTGAGGTTCCCCACTCCTGACCTACACCATATCTGAAGGTATGTGCAGAGCATTTCCGCAGCTGTGTGTGTCCTTTGCATATACATTACTCTCTAATCTACATTATGCTGAAACAGCAATATCTGTCTGACTTTTTCACTGGGGCAGCTAATCAACTATCAATATCAAAATTAATTATGGCATGTCGTTATGTTAAACCTTTTTTGTGCGAAGTAGTTGTAGATACATATCACATAATAACAGCCAGCTGCATTAAGGTAATTATTTTAAGGAGCCTTAACTATCTGATCATAAAAGAGCCTAATTTTGATCCTTTAATTAGCTGATTTAGCATTCATGATGGAAACATATGAATACATTTGCTTGTGTCCCTTTGGACCTCCTTAAGAACTGAAACAGTAACGCCTTCAAGAGGTTATTCCAGCAGGGACATATTTAACAAATAAATAAAATTAAAGTAATTATTCTTTAGTCAAGGAGTCAGCAAACTTGGTTTGAATATGAACATGGGACATAGCACCCTACCAGTATCAATGATTAAAAGTGCTTTTAAGGGCTCCTCCAGACCGCCAGGTTATTGAACATTTATCCTGATTTGCTTACACATTGTTTCCTTGGAGATTAGACTATATCAAGCCTTTATTGAGCATTTGTTCTGATCTGTTTGTGGGGAGTTTATACGACAATGTGGACAGGTTATACAACAACCTGATCTGCTTGTGTGGTGCTTTCCATGCCTTCCTGTTAAATTATCCCTGTATCAGTTATTGAAGGAGCAGTTTATCTGCTGAATATGTTGTGCCAGTTTGGGTATAAGAAGAGTGTATATAAAAGGAAAGATGAAAAGGAAGACATGGCAAAGGTCAGGTCTAGTCAAGTGGGAAGGGGAGAGTTATTTGGAGAAAAGATGCAAAATTAGAAAGCGCGAGAAGAGAACTGAGCAACAATGAAAAACAAACCCAGAAACAATATGAAGTTCAGTGAAAGGTGGAGAGAGAGAGATTGAGAGAGAAAGGTAAACAACTTGTCTTCACATTCTTTGGGGATTGCCTAGCTGATCTCTCACACAATACTTCTATTGAAGCAGCTGGTTCATTAAAAAAAAAGAAATTATAAAGAAGAGAAAGGAATGTTTCTAGATGGCGGAAATAAGAAGAAGGATGATGCCTCAAAGCAGCCTTCCCCCAACCTGGTGCCCTTCAGATGTTTTGACTACAACTCCTACCAGCCTGAAGCAGCAAGGCCAATAGTTAGGGGTGGAGGGAGCTGAGGTTCAGCAGCACCTGGAGGGCACCAGGTTGGAGAACATAAAGGAGGGCCATAGCTCAGTGCTTATCCTGTTTTAACTTCAATTTTCTCAGTTCCCTTGCTAGGCATTTTTTGCTATTCTGACATTCCTTATTGAACCAAGTCTGTCTTGTAAACTTTTTGTTTTTTATCACACTGGTTGTGGTCATCAGTGGGCGCATTCGGTTGATTATGTTCTCATAAAGTCCGATTATGTTTCCTGTTTCTAACAACCTTTCCCCCTTTAATAAAGCAAATTCATGGGAATCCAGGATCTGAATCATTTTTTCTTGGACCTGTGCATTCCATTTTAACCTTCTATTTCCAAGTACCAGATATTCCGTTTCATCCAATAATTTAGGAAAGGCAGGAGAAACGAATGATGTCAGAGATAACTCAAGTGGAAAATGGGAATTATCCTGAAGGTATCTCGATTAATTGGCACATCATTAGATGTTAGGATATAATCTATGATGCTAGTAAATCCTCTGGGGGAGATAAAAGTAAAATAATCCACTTGATCCCCTTGACCGTGCCCATTGCATAACAAAAGGTGGTACTTCCAGGTTCAGTGGTACTTCCAGTTCCAGGTTCAATCCCTGGCACCTGCGGGTAGGGCTGGGGTTGGACCCCATCTGAATCCCCAGAGAGCCAGTGCCAGTAAGTGTAGACAATATTAGATGGACCCGGCAGCGGAGCATTTCCTGCTGGCGCCCAGGGCACGTGCCAGAGCAACCCACTCCCAGTGGAGCCAAGTGAGGCTAGGCTACACCACACAGTGAGGAGCCCGGCCATTGGAAGGTCGCATTCATGGCTCCCTGTGAGCCCAGTGCTGCTTTGTGAGACTCACAAAAGTGGCACAAGACTGGCAGAGCGCATGCCTGTTGCGTCCTTCTCATGAGAAGGACTCAACAGCTAGCCACATCCTGCCAGCTGTGAGGAATAAGGTAAAGGTAAAGGGACCCCTGACCATTAGGTCCAGTCGTGGCCGACTCTGGGGTTGCGGTGCTCATCTCACTTTACTGTCTGAGGAAGCCGGCATACAGCTTCCGAATCATGTGGCCAGCATGACTAAGCCGCTTCTGGCAAACCAGAGCATCACACGGAAACGCCGTTTACTTTCCCGCTGGAGCGGTACCTATTTATCTACTTGCACTTTGACGTGCTTTCAAATTGCTAGGTTGGCAGGAGCAGGGACCGAGCAATGGGAGCTCACCCCGTCGCAGGGATTTGAACCGCCGACCTTCTGATCGGTCTCTTATTGAATTGTTTAGAAAAGTAGTACTCGGCTGACAAGTCACCTGTGCAGAGGCAGGAGCCATTCCTCAGTCACTTAAAGAACCATTACTGGTCCCGTTTCTCTCCAACAGTTTCTCCTGATGGGATCCAGTTTAGTTGCTCTGCTTATTTATTTCCAACTTTTAAAAATCGCTCCCTACAAAATACTTCCAAGTAGGTAAGGAATCCATTGAAAATGGACTATAAAGCAGATTTCCCTCCCGTCAATTCAAAGCCCCCATCATGGCAAAGATTCTTGCTATGAATGGCTTTGCCTTCATTCTCCACAATGAAAGTTTTTTAAACACACACACACACTATACATAAATAGTAACACAAATTGCTTTGCAATATACATTATTTACATATTCATTGATGTGTAATTGCCGCTGTTCTGACAGGTGCCTCATTGCTTCCCCTTTTTCTCAAGTGCTGCTTGTTGATTATCCATGCATATCAATTGCTAGAGGTAGCCTATATGCACAAAAGCCAGAACCAAGTAGAAAATCTAAAGCACAAAGCCAGTGTCAGTTGCACCAAACTTCCCCTTAGTTTTCACGCTTACTCCTTTCACTTCTGCCTTAAGGCAGGGTGTCTGTTTTCCCTAGTTCAATGCTTCAGAGAATCATAGAACTGTAGAGTTGGAAGGGACCACAAGGGTCATCTAGTCCAACCCCTTGCAATGCAGGAATCTTTTGCCCAACATGGGGCTTGAACCCACGGCCCTGAGATTAAGTGTCTTGCGCTCTACCAAAGCCACTTCTGCCTTAAGGAGGAGGTGGGGTTGTAGGCTTCACGGCCCCTCCACATGCCCAGTGGGTGGGAGGCCAGCCCCTGCACGATTGGGGGATTCCCGGCTGCGTCACCCCTTGGCCAGCCAATCGGGTTGCTCTGGGGGTGTGGCCTGCTTCTTAAAGGCAGGACGCAGCCGGGGATCTCCCTCTTTGTCCACCCGCCAGCTGCTCCGGTTTTCCCCCCTCCCCCCTCTAAGGTTTGCTCTCTTTGACCTTGCTATGGACCTTGGTTGGTCGCCGTTGAGGGGCCTGGTAGGAATTTTTCCACTTGGCAAATTGGCACCAGCCACTTGGTTTTCGCCTACCTCGTAGTAAATCATCACAGCTTTCTGGGTATTGGCGGTTAGGCACTGGAATAGGTCTGTAGATGGAAAGAGGGGAGGTAGCGCCATCACCTGCCCCGCATAGTCTGTTAAAGGATTCCGGGGTGTGTGGCCCTGTCCAAAGCCTAGGGAGGTTAGGACCTAAGGCACGCCCCCAACGGTGACCCCGGGGGAGCTTCTAGTTGATGTGCATCAGCAGGAGTCCCCCTACTGGTGGTTAACCCTTCCCAGACTTCAAGCAGACAGGCTGGAGCCAGATATAGTCAGTTAGGTAAAATGCCTAAGCCAATACCGCTCATCACCTGTAACCAATAAAGTTGTGGCCTTTTTCAGCCCATTAACCTTAATAATTGTGTCATTATTCTACCTGGGGGGGATCAGGAACTCGCCACAAACTGAGAGCCAGTGTGGTGTAGTGGTTAAGAGCGGTAGTCTCATAATCTGGTGAACCGGGTTCGCGTCTCCGCTCCTCCACATGCAGCTGCTGGGTGACCTTGGGCCAGTCACACTTCTGTGAAGTCTCTCAGCCCCACTCACCTCACAGAGTGTTTGTTGTGGGGGAGGAAGGGAAAGGAGAATGTTAGCCGCTTTGAGACTCCTTCGGGTAGTGATAAAGCGGGATATCAAATCCAAAAGCTCTTCACACAGCTGAGCTACCCACATGCATATGGAGCCCAAACATCAAGATAAGCATAAACATGCTTCAGAAGAAGGCCAGTCTGCAGTTCTTAGGTTTCAGTTCCAGCAGTAAAACTAGGTGTAGCTTTCTTATCACTACAAAAAGTTGGCCTGCACCTGGGCAGTGAGTTACGGCAGCTAAGGAAGACATGACATCAAGCAGCCTTTGCCAAAAGCGGACGCGCACTCCATCGTACCACTCACCCCTCACAGTCCTGAACTGGGTGCCAGGATTATGTCACTTCAGTAAGTTCGATCTACAGAATGAATCCCAGGCACACAAATACTAGAAGGCATCTCCATGGCAGAAAACCATGGCAGAAAACCTTCTTTCCAGTCTGAAACTGTATTTCTTTTGGGAAGGTGCAGGAGCAGTTCCTCATTTCGATGGGGGAATAATTCTTCCACCCTCCCTCCTTCTCTCGCTTTTCTTTTTGGTGCAAAAACAGGAGGAAGTCAAGCTTTCAAAGGCAACAAGAAAAACATTGCATTAGTGTGCCGACATGCAATATCTTTCTAAGATCTGGAGGGAGTTCTCTTACCTGCTGAGATTGATGTAGTGCCAAAAAAACACTTGCGTCTCTGCACCAATCCTCATCAAATGTTGGGCATGTTTTGTTGGAAGGACGTCTTCCCAGACTCTGAGCTGGGATTTCTTCAGATTGATTTTCCACATGCAGCGAGAGAGCTGAAATGTTGGGATGTCCTCACCTGCTTTATTTCTATTCCCTTCAGGACTTTGGCACAGTGGCAGAAAGTATAGGCAGCTTTGTAAAGTTCAAAAAATGGTCACATCGTAATTTAAAACGACTCGATTGCAACATGATGGGATGCCACGGGGGGAGAAAACACAGAAAAATACAATCCACTGTGGACTTCTGCTCAAAGCCCATTGAGAAGAATAGAAGCTTTGGAAGAATGCTCTTTTCATTTCCATGGAATCTGGAGAGGACAGGAATGGTGGCGCCCCTCCCTTTATTTTCACGGAACTCTTCCTACATGCAGCAGACTTTTCTGCAAAGTAATCTATATGTGCTTAATCTCTATATATCTCTGCAACACCTTCTAGGTTGCACTCACAGTTCAGGTGGAACACTGAGCAGTTCCATTGAAACCCAGGGTGGTTGGGGCAACCTGGTCAGATGGGCAGGGTACAAATAATAGTAATAATAAGAGTTGGATTTGATATCCCGCTTTATCACTACCCGAAGGAGTCTCAAAGTGGCTAACATTCTCCTTTCCCTTCCTCCCCCACAACAAACACTCTGTGAGGTGAGTGGGGCTGAGAGACTTCAAAGAAGTGTGACTAGCCCAAGACCAACCCAGCAGCTGCATGTGGAGGAGCGGGGATGTGAACCCGGTTCACCAGATTACAAGTCCACTGCTCTTAACCACTACACCAAACTGAAATATAATGAAATATAATAATCGCTAGCCAATTGTCACTGGGTGACCAAGAGTTCTGCTCAGGGATGGGCAAATCTGCTTATTTCAATCTCTCTTGGTTTCTCTTATTTTATCTACCCAAAACAGCATTTCCGTACGCTGCCCTGGTTTCGCCAGAAGCAGCTTAGTCATGCTGACCACATGACCCGGAAAAACTGTCTGCGGACAAATGTCAGCTCCCTTGGCTAGTAAAGCGAGATGAGCACTGCAACCCCAGAGTCATTCGCAACTGGACTTAACTGGCAGGGGTCCTTTACCGTTACCTTTTAAACTCAGCTCTCCACATTTCCACAACAGTTTGCTTTTCTTTTTAAGTCATTTTTTTTAAAAACCAGCATTTTAGCTATGACCTTTTTTTTTGCAAAGAAGATTTTGTTTGTTATTTTCAAAAATACACACATTTTAAAGCACACTTTACCCCAGTATATTAATTTTTGCTCGCATTATGTGGTTGGAAGAACCACATTTCAAATGATGGCTGTGTTTCAGCTTTGGAAAGTGCAAAACAAGCCAATTCGCCTTCAGATGAGAACTGACTTGAATCCCACCACTAACCCCACTTCTAGTTCTGCTATTATCAGAAAGGGTGAACATCTTCTATGTACTTTCTATACACTGTGCATCATTTTGTAAAGCCTGACCATGTTCCCTCCTTAGTTGGCTTCTCCCCAATTGCACAAAAGCCCCAAACATTTTTCCCTTTCCTCTTGAGAAAGATGCACCTGCTCTTGTGCTCTTTGAGTTGCCCTATTCCGCACCTTTTCCAGCTTAACAATATCATTTGTGAGATATGCCCATTGGATGCAACGGAGCAATGTAATATTGATTTATAATTTGATTTGTTAAACTTGTTCAATGAAAAATATTTTAAAAAATCAAAACAAACAAACATCCAAGCCTGCTTTGCTTGTTTTGAAGTTGCCATTCCTACTCATAAACCTTCCAAATGCAAGATTTTTCATCTCCTTTTTTCAGGGTTTCTACTCTAGAGTAGCCTCAAACCTTCCTCCTGCAAATAAACCTGCTATTAGAAAATCCCAAATTAGCTCCCTTCAGGCCCATTTTGTTCCCTGACTCCTGAAGGTTCTGGTACAAGCTCTTGGTTTTTTTGTTGTTCTTAGCATCAAAAGGTTTTATACTCCTCTACAAATCTAAAGACACTGAAGAAAAGCAGAGATCGAAGATAAAAAGAACTAACAACTGAAGAAATAATAAAACAGTTCAAATAAGCAAAGCAGGGGCACAATGTCTGCGACCACTATAAGTGGCATAGGCAAAGTTTATGAACAATCACATTTCCCCAGCAAGAATGCTCACTCTTGAAAGGCCTTTTTCTAAAGGCCAAGAGATCATTTAGAAAAAGGAATTAAACTGATTTGCTGAAAACAGCTGCACCCTATTTGCAGGCAACAAGGGATGAACAAAAAGCCTTCCGTTCATAAATAACTTGGGTTTCTAAACTTGCAAGACGTTTCTCAATATTAGCACACTGAACACATGGGTATTCACAGTGCTAAATTTAAAAATAGCCAGATTTGACAATGGAAGTCATGTGGCAGTCATAAAAATGGTACAATAATAATAAGAATAATAATATACTTATTTATGCAGTGCTTTTCCTGAGTGCGCAAAAGTACGTTGCTTAAGTCAATCATACATCATCCATGTAATACTGGTAGGACAGTATTAGCACATACCTTCAAACATTTCTCCAATGAAAATAGGAACACCCTATTTATTATTATTATAAATAATAATAACAATAACAACAATAACAACAATTTATTATTTACACCTTGCCCATCTGACTGGGTTGCCCAGTCCTGAGCAGCTTCCAACATATATAAAAGCATAATAAAACATTGAACTTCCCTCTACAGGGCTGCCTTCAGATGTCTTCTAAGGGTTGTATAGTTACTTATCTCTTTGGCTTGGGGGCGGGGAAGTGTCGCATAACTTTGTACCCTCCAACATTTCTCTGATGAAAAGAGGGATGTTCTGAGAAAAAGTAGGACATTCTGGGATCAAATCAGAAAACCAGGATGGCTTCTGTAAATCTGGGTTGTCCCTGGAAAATAGGGACACTTGGAGCGTCTGTTATCACTCCCTGTTCCATGTAGTATTAGTATGTTGAATAGAAAGGAGAGGGTGCCCAGTCAGTCCATATTAGTACAGTGGTACCTTGGGTTAAGAAATTAATTCGTTCCTGAGGTCCATTCTTAACCTGAAACTGTTCTTAACCTGAAGCACCACTTTAGCTAATGGGGCCTCCTGCTGCTGCTGTGCCACCACCGCATGATTTCTGTTCTCATCCTGAGGTAAAGTTCTTAACCCGAGGTACTATTTATGGGTTAGTGGAGTCTGTAACCTGAAGCGTCTGTAACCTGAAGCGTCTGTAACCTGAGGTACCACTGTATTATCATTTATCACCATCATCATTAGTGTATTTGGAGGGGGTATAAAAAATGAGGTGCCAGTACTCATATATTGATAAAAGTGCTTTGGGTGTCAGCACAAAATGGCTA